ATCTGACCCCCTATCCAGTAGTCCCAGCTTAACACTCAACCCTATATCAGCAATCGCATCAATAGTGAACAGGTTCAACCAGAATCTCAAATCAACTTCATCCCCATCCATCACCCCATTCGAAGATGATGAACACCGCCCATCCAACTGCCGTAATAAACCCTCCACCTTATCAACAATCTTAAACTCCCAATTTTCGAGATTCTTCGTGGAGAACGCATTCGCGAGCATTCGCCGCTTTCGGGAGTGGTCGTCGCGGGAGATGGTGTTCAGCATGTTGGAGTGAGTGTGAGTTCCTTTTGTCAGTGCGTAGACGTCGTCTTTCAGGCATGGTGTGCCGTGGCCGTAGATGGCTGGGATGGCTTTGGGATCTGCGATGGAGAGGGCGGTGGGTGAGAGGCGGATGAAGGGGTGGTTGAGGTGAAGGTGCGTGTTGTAGAGTCGTCTGGTGCGGAAGGGGTGGCGGTGTTCGTAGGTGTAGGAGAGGGTGGTGAGGTTGGAGAGGGGGTTGAGAGGGGGGTATTTGGTTAGGGTCTTGGTGGTGGGGTATTTGAAGAGTGATTTGATGAGGAGGGTGAGGATAATGAGGGTGAGGGTGAGGAGGAAGAGGAGGGCCATGTTAGTATAGATGGTCAAGATGGTTTCTTTTGGTTAATTGAAGAGGGTACGCAATGGCTCTAGTTGCGGGTGTTATGTTGTATTAGTATCTTCTAGCTGAGCTCTCTTCGTTTCTGAGTATTGGCTATATATTTATCTATCTACGAAAATTGCGAGACTGCGCAGCTAGAATCATATTACCCAAAAGGGTATGTTAAGAGCGGAGAAGCTAGGTCTGCAGCGGATGTTGTGCAGATTGAGCGGAAGACATTCCTCTTTGGGAAGTATAAGAGCACATGTGCTTCCATTTTAACAATAAGTACGACCTTATGCGGGCACGCGATACAACAGTACACTTAGGTTCAGATAACATGCGTGATATTGTTTTGTCAGTTTGGAGCATCATTTATACACAATCGTTCATATACAGTCATGCTACCCAACAATCATCAATCTAAACATTATTTTAATGCAACACCAAAACGCTATGCAACACACCCCATATTTACTCTACGACAAATCCACTACATCATCCTTCACCTCCTCCCCTTTGGCAGCCTCAATCTTCACCCACCCAAACAAAATCGTCAACGCAATGCCAGCACACGCAACTCCCAACCAAAAAGCAGCCTTATACCCCTCCCTCTGGCCCTCCACCATCTCAGCAACAAAATCCCCCCACCCAACAAAGAAACTCACGCCCAAGAACAACACACTATTCGCCACCGCGGCCGCCAACCCCTGCTGCTTCTCCGGCAACGTCGTGGTAAGAAACACATTGGTGATATTATACGTGATATCCACGCCCACGGTACCACAAATCATCGCAGGGAAAATATACGCCCAATAACTCACTCCTTCCTTGGGAAGAATAGCGAAGAGGAGCGGCGCCATGACCCATCCTATGCCCGAGAGTATGAGGAGGAGAGTCCCCGGGACGATGTGGAGGATTGTGCCGCCGACGAAGCTGAGGACAATGCCTCCCAGCGCGAAGGGAAGGTACCATACTACCACCATTAGGGGGGAGATGTGCAGGATGTTCTGCATGTAGGTTACTGTGTAGAGGAGCCAGATGCCGAAGGTGCCGTAGAAGAGGAAGAGGGCGATGAGGAGGGCGGGGAGGTGAGGGACGCGGAAGAGGGTTAGCGGGAGGATTGGGGTTGGGGTTGCGTTTTGGCTGTCGTCTGTGTCGGAGGAGGCTGAGGTGAGGCGGTATTCTGTGTAGATTGCCCCTGCGAGGAGGATGCAGCCGATCACCAAGGTCACGGGGATGTATGGTGTGCGCCAGCCGTTAGGGGCGTGGCCGCAGTCGTTGACGGCGAAGAAGATCAGGATGAGGCTTGAGATGAAGAGAGTGGCGCCGAGGTAGTCGATCTTGAGGGTTGGGTTGGGTCGTTGTGTGCGGATCGGAGTGGGAATGAAGATTAGGGCGGCTACGAGGGTAATGAGGATCAGGATGGCGCCGATCCAGAAGTACCAGCGCCAGGTGAGGAGTTGGTCGGCGATTCCGGAGACGAGGATGCCTGCGGAGAAACCTATGGGGGCGCAGCCACCGTAGATGCTAAAGACGATGTTCTTGCGGGGACCCGGAGGGTAGATCGAACCCAGGAGCATGATGCCTGCAGAGAGGATGGCGGCGGGACCGAAGCCTTGCAGGGCACGGCAGAAGTTGAGCATGATTTCGTTTTGGGAGAACCCTGCTATGAGCGTCCAGACCATGTGCCATGTTAGGCCGGAGGTGAAGACCACGAAGCCGCCGTATTTGTCGGCCAGCTGCCCGAAGAGGAGAAGGGAGCTGCCAGCGGTGAGAGCGAAGGCGCTGGAGGGCCAGCCGGTGGATGCGGCGGGGATATTCAGGCTTTGAGAGACAGATGGGATGAGGACGTTGAAGCCGGAGATGAAGAATTCCTACCATAATGTGAGATGAGCTGAAGACTGGGCGGGATAGTTGATACGGACTTACCGACATGATCTGGGACAACAAAAGGGCCACGCAGAATCCGATCTCAATGACCAGGTTAGGGAAGATGCGTGGGCGCTGTCGACCCTGACGATCGACATCTTGAGGTCGCTGGTCCTCAGGACACTGTTCTTTCATGATCCGTTGTTGATTCACACTCAGCAGCCATGCTAGCTCTGCTCTGAGCGAGCTCGAGACATGGGTATAAATATGCGCATCGCAAAAAGCAGACTTCCCAAACAAGGCACTAAATTGAGTTAACAGGTTGATTCATAAGCAGCTACATTTTGTCTCCAGCTGGAAAATTAAGCACCAATCCAAATGGAACCCATCTTATAAATGAAAAAGGCGACATGGAAGTTCCTGGAGAGTCGGTCGAGTATCAAATCCACTCAGCCAATAATGCATTAGTTGCCGTCTGGATTATCCACTGTATTCTGATATTCGACGAATCGGGTCTACCAAAGTTCTTGGCCACCACGCTAGTTGCAAGTCCTCCAGACAACTTCCTATTTCGGATAGCAGCCCTAACCGGCATCTACTTTTAGGTCGTCATGGAGTTTGTCACTTTGCTGCAGAATTTCTAGATCAGCCACCTACGAGGAGATATCTAGAGAGCTGAAATTAGACAATAACTGTGATCATCAAGATGACGACCATGGCAGCATCATACCAATAATGAGCTGCAAGACATGTCATTTTTTACAGACACTTCCGTACTCCGATCTTTCACCGGATTACTCACCTACAAATGACAACAAAGGAGGAAAAGAGTATAGACTACAGAGGCAGTTTAATCATAACTACAAAAGGCAAAAAAGAAAAAAAAGAGAATGGATGAGCCCAGCCCGGCTCGATCGGACAACCTTACGATCTGGAGTCGCTGCAGAAGATGTTAGAAGATGTTGGGAATCCAAATATTGGATCAGGATAAACTTACTACGCGCTACCAATTGCGCCATAGGCCCATTCAGGTGACAAACAGGTCGTTTTTGTGCTACATGTTCCGGGGATGTACTACCCCACGAAAATCTCGTTGATGCATATGTAATTTTAATGGCAGCACCTGATCAAAGTAGGACTAGAGGACCATGTGGCAAAAATTATATCTAAGGTCCGGGTAGCGTTGGTCGTGCAACCGATTACAAACCTGCATGCACTGTTATGTCACTCTTGTATACTCTGGAAGCCTACACAGGGTAGGGTATTATACCTGACCGACGGTTCACAGCTAGGACCTGGAGAAATAAAAAGACTGTATGGATTCGCAAATCCACCATCGGATCATGCAAAAGAAGAAAGATATATATATGCCATATATTCTAGGTATCAGTGAATTATTGGAACCATTCAGTAAAAATAAATCCATTCCAGTGTTCCGCCCCTCTTCCCCAGTATTCAAGAAGAGAAAAAGCAAAAAAAGATGGTATGAGCCCAGCCCGGCTCGATCGGACAACCTTACGATCTGGAGTCGCTGATGAAACTGTTAGATGCTGATGTAATCCAGAATTGGATTTTCAAGGTGAACTTACTACGCGCTACCAATTGCGCCATAGGCCCATAGGTGAAGAACTTTTCTTGATTTTGGGCTTATGACGGCTGCTGACAGTATATAGGTAATGTATTGTAATTGTTACTTTGCATATTAGTATGTGTCTGTATTTGATCTTCATGGAGCGATATGTATGCACGCACTAGAAGGTCTGAGAGCAATGATTTACTAGATATGAATAATGATATGGAGGACTAAGCTATTGAATGTTAATGGTGGATATACTCTGTGTATGCGGTCTCAGTTATAGGTACTATGGGAGGGTCCGTTTGATCCGATCTATACATTCCATCGATTGTAGGATAGTGGAGTAGACAGTGTAAAGCGTGCTCGTAACTCATCTTATTCTAATATTACCCATATCAGTACAAATGGTCTGTACTGCGAAAGGAACAATTTAAATATATCTACTTCACCTATGTCAGTGAGTCCTGTCATCTGGTATGAGATATGTGCATCTTTCGGCCACACTATCACAGACTCCATCCAGTGCCGGTATGCATATCAAAATCTATAGACCTCCTACTCTAATAGTATAATCGCATTCATTACCATGTATGAAAGACCTCGTGGCAAAATACAAGATGAAAACGATCAACATTCCCAGAACTAGTATCCATTCCATCCCACACTGATCCATAACATGTAATACATGCAGTATACCCCGCACACGACACCACAACCCAATCAATCCCAATAAAACTTGATACATCCAACCAACCTTTATCCTGGATACTACACACCGTATAACAAACTCCAAATGACGTCCAAAAAATATTTCAAAACTTTGTACATTCTCAAAGCATACAAACATATCCATCTCAACACCACCACCACCGACTCAGCTGAGCATGTGGGGCAATGAGGGTTGAAGAAAAGCAAAAAAGATAATGAGCCCAGCCCGGCTCGATCGGACAACCTTACGATCTGGAGTCGCTATTTCAATCTGTTAGAAGGATGTTTTTTGCAATCTGTTGGAATGCAAGTGGAACTTACTACGCGCTACCAATTGCGCCATAGGCCCATTGTTGGTGCTTTGCTTTTTCTCAATCTGTTAGATGAGTGGGGTTTTATGAGGGTTAGATACTCGGGTATTTTTGCTGTATTTCGTTTTGTGTCTTTGGGTTCGTATATACTTGGTGGATGGTCTTCGGTTTATGAAATTATGGGTTAAGGAATGTATTATCATCATAATTAGTAGGATATTAGGATGTAAATCTATGGGGTTTGTGTTCGTGTTGCTTAAAGTTGGGGTATCCTTTTAAAAGCTCGCATATATATTACGACCTACCCTTCAAGACATACACTGAACGAAATCAGCAGAACTGCTATATACACTCCATTAATATATATGCCCGGGCTATTCTAATCCCCGTCATGATACATGTCTATCGTGATTCATTAGTCATACACATGGCCTCGGCCTGTCTACTCCCAAGCGCCAACATACACTCTACTGCCAGCAAGCCATCAATTCCCGTTGCCCAGGATCAGGGCCCGCGCCTGTTGAGGGTCCGTTCCGAGGACGGTGATGAGGTATTCGATGCTGCTGCTGTTAGCTAGTGACCTTTCATGAATGTATGGTATGTCTCACCTCGCTTCTGATGCAAGTCGGCGCTTCTCGTTCTGGAACTCCTGCTGACATGACTCCCAGGTCCCCGCTCGCTCGGTCGGTAGCACTGTCTTGACGCGCAGCTTGAATGTAGCGCTCACTGGTCGATGGTCGGATGCGCGGACTTCGTGTCGGCGGTATTCTAGTTGCCGGACGCGGCCTAGTCCGCGATAGAGAACTCGGTCACACCACGCTGGAGCGCGCTTCTTGTCGCTGGAGTCATACTCGTCGGTGCCGACGTCATATTTGTATGTTGGTGCGAACGTAATGGGTGCCTCGTTGAAGGAACGTAGCCGGAAGCCTGGGTTCTTGCGTCGCGAGGCGAGTAACTGGTCGCGTTCCAGTAGCTTGGTCAGGTTGTTGCTGCGGATGTCGTCGATGATTACATTCCGCGGTATGGAGTCGATACGGTAGTTGAGATCACCGTTTAGAATACAGATCTCGTGGTCCATGATCATTGAGCCATCGCCACCGCTCACGTAGTGATTCGCTCGAGTTGCGAGACTGTTCTCAGCAGGAAGTGACTCCGCCTCAAGAATAGCTGCGATATCATTGTTGCGGTGTGCCGTCTGCGTCTGACCAGCTGCCAAGTGGCAGTTGATAAAGCAAAGGGAGCTGTCATCGAGGACAAAGCGCAGTAAAAGTGCACCCTACAGCAATCAGCAACTGACAGCAACCAGAATCACCAGTGGGCCTACCTTATTCCCATGCAAACCTCCCATACCACGCTTAATCTCTGAAGCGCCAATGTTCTTGATCCGCTGCCGCTCCTTGTGCTTCACGAACACACATGTAAAGAGACCGATCAGATTCGCGCTATGCAGCAGGACATACGACTCCTCAAGCGGCATGCAGTCATTGATGCAGCGGGTCAAATGCTCCATCCAGACCCGGTACTGACGGCTCATATGCTCTTTATCACCGTGCTCCTTCTTCTTGCTACCGAGGAGCAGACTCTCTGGACGGAATTAGCCATGCTCAAACAAAGTAAACGGTATACGTACTGGCTGTGATCTTCTTATTCTCAAGATCCACCAGCTCCTGAAATCCAAACACCAAAATCTCTGGCGGATTCTCGGGATGGATCGCATCCTGGATGAAAGTGGATGTGCGCACGCTTCCAGGGGTAGAAGCACCAGCGTTCCAGGTCATGATAACCGCATGAATCTCACGGAACTTGCAAAACTCTACGTCCCTGGCCTGCATCCTCGTTTCTAACGGGCTGTTAGCTCACATCAGTCGGAAAATCGAAAGTTACTTACCCAACCAGTCATCCTCCAACATGCCATCCCAGAGACGAATGCAGTTGTCGTCTCCCAGCGAAGTCACTTGCAGTCGGTTCATCGTCCACACGCTGCTAGAATCAAGCAAGAACCCACTGACAGGGCTATCATGAGCACGCCAATCCTTCTTCACCGTCCACGGATTCGTAGACGTATCGTAGACGTAGATCATGCCAGTCTTGTATGCTGCCCACAGGTAGTCTCCCACAATACCCAAGCAGTTGATCTTATAGACACTGACATTGACAACGGAAAGACACGTGTAGTCGTGGGCCGAGTATACCGTCACCTTTCCATCTGCATGACCCAAGTACACACGACCACCATCCTTGGTGGTATAGGCACCTGACGTTACATCCCCCGTATGCTGCAAGCCCAATGGCCTGCTGAGAACCTTGAAGGAAACATCATCGCGAGCATTTGGCTGATAGACGTGCACTTCCTTGCCGGAAGCCAGCCACAAAAGGTCACCAACCACCATTGAAAACGTATGCCCGCGGGCAACCCGATCGTAGGGGTTGTGGTAACTGTACTGGAGGTTCGGAGTTCCAGTCTCGTCTGGCGGCCATACCAGCAGCCGACCCTCATCGTCGAGGGTCCACATTTCCTTCTTATGCCGCAAGATCTTGACAATCTCCCGTCGAGAAGGGTAAGATCGTGATGCGACGATGGACCGGGTTGCAATGTCAACCTCGTGAAGATCCCCGGAATTCGTGCCCAACCATAAGCGCTGACCTTCATCCTCCAAACCCAAACCTGGCTTGAAGGCAACCGACAGACACTTGACTGTCTCCCCGTGGCTGAGGCTCATGATTTGCTCTCCGGTCGTAAGATCCCAGACCCGCGTGATGTAGCCAGTTGTGCACACATGCTTCCCACATACATCCATGAGTCGCGTATCATACCGCGTGTGGATCTCCTGAGGCCCAGACTTCAGCAGCGGTGGCCGTCTGTTTGCACTGGACGCATCTGGATAATCCGTGCGAGCAACTGGCGTCTCATCCGGAACCTGTTCATCCTCACTAGGAATAGGGCGAACTGCTTGACGTTCCACCACGGTCCGCTCTGGTATGGGCCGCTCCGGAACAGCCGGGGGCGGCACTGGTCTAGTCTCCCTGGAAATAGACGGCTGCCGAGAGACGTGCGTCGGGGTTGATAGCTCGTCTCGATAAACGGGCCGAGTTTCCCTAGAAATGGATGGCTGCCGAGAGACCTGCGTCGGGGTGGGTAGCTCGTCACGATAAAGGGGCCGAGATTCGCGGTAGGGTGTTGGGGGAGGTAGCGAGAACGCAGGGCTTTCCACCTGGTACGAATGCCGCGACGGTGACGGACCACCCCTTCGCGCCAGGGACGGCTGTCGTGGGGGCAGTCCGGGGCGCTCCTGAGGATCATGCGTCGGGGGCCTGTAGTTGGAGAGCGGTGCGGTTGCGAGCGGCTCCGGTGCTACGTAATGCCTGGGAGGGATCTGGACCATAAGCGGCTTCGTCTCACGGGGAGGCTCCGGGATTGGCCGCCTCACGGAGGGCTCTCGATGTACACCTGGCTGAGGAGCGGGTGACCTCTCCTCAAGTGACCGGTGAGTCGGAAGGCCAGGTACTGGACGGGCTGGCGAACGCCGGGAAGGCGAGCGCGGAATTGGCACCGCTCTGGTATTGGGTTGTTGTTTTGGTGACGTTTTCTCGGGACTGCTCGGAGGAGTGCTGAATGGCGATACGCGATCTTCCGAGGACGCACGCTCAAGCTGTGGAGCAAGAGTATTGGCTTCGTGGTGCGACAATGCCGCCGGTTTGGCGGGGATCTTAGGCTTCTCCGCCCGGTTAGCAGGCGGGGGAAGGGAGACGCTCTTGCCTTTGCGTTCCGATGGACTCTCTCGGCCATTTACCACGGAGCCTGATGTACCTGGCGACAAACGATCCGCTTTACTCTCGGTAGGAAAAGACGAAGAGACGGGGGTTGTTGGTCGGCGAGCGGGAGCAATCCCTTGCGGTATGGTAGGCAGCGATTCCCGGGAAGCGTTCGGCGGGGTGCGAGACGAGCGGATATCCTCCTCATGGTCTGCTCCAAACCCGCGCGGCGGAGACCGTGGTGAATCGACGGTTAGAGTCGGTGCCAACTGCGGCGACGAGTGGAGGTTCATCGACATGGGCCTGTTCTGCCGCCTGCCCGGGGAAATCCCGGGGGATTCAGAGTGCGGGGCTAGACCATTACCGTGTACGATGCTGTGACTTCTCTCTACATCAGGCACTGAGCCCCAGGGAGACCGTGGACGTGGTAGATCAAGAGAGGCTCTGTTGGAGCGGACATCGTCACCGTAATCGGGAGTTCTGAGAAAGGACGGCGTATCGCGTGAACCGTTTGTGGCAGCGGATGGAGCCCGACGATGCGAGAGATTTTCGAAATGCGAAAGCAGGGAAGACACCGGTCTCTACAGAAGCCAGCATATTAGTATGAAGCTCCAGAACAGCGGGGGGGATTGCCGGCGCAAACGTACAATCGGAGCACTATCCGTGGCGTCCTTTTGCTTGCCGTTTCCCTCCATGGCCACAACAGCGAATCCAACAGACAGGCCGAGTAAAGGAATGGATCATAGGCTCCGCCAATTGCGATAAATGCAGACTACCACCGCAGAGAGGCCAAAAAGTGGCACAGTAAATTTAATGACCAGGCTGGATAAGATAACGGGTGGCAGGAAGTGAGCCGGGAGTGACGATTGTGGCGGAGCTCCAGTTTAGGCGGAAGGAATTAAGGAGCAGGAAAGACAACAAGTCGCCGTGCAGCGGTAGGAATGGTCTGGAACGGGGTATCCTATTCTGCGGAGGACGTGGAGTATGGCCCGGACGACACCAGGTGGGAATCTCAGCGATGGGAGGAATTGAGCAGTGAATGTGTGGAGAGAGAGGGGGGGAAGGACGGAGGAAGGGAGGGATCCAAAGAGTGGGGAGGAAGAGGGAGAGAGTAGTAGGAAGACAAGAAGAGGATGGGCGGGAAAAGAGAGGAATCACCGAGGGGAAGGAGATGAAGTCACCCAAACCGACAAGAGGAAGTTGAGGAGTAAGTAGTAGGGAAGGAAAAGGAAAGGGGAGAGAAGAAGAGAAAGAGAGGAACTCAGCGAGGCGAGGCGATGATCGA